GCTTTTTCGGACGAGAGATTAGGAAGGGGCCCTGGGACACACAAGTAAGCACACAAATGACAGGATTTTCCCCATATTTTCGTATATGTTCTGGGTTTTTGTATTCCCCCCCACTTCCTGTATTTTCCCATATGTTCTGGGAAATCGAAGATTCATTGTGTCTGTGTGTTTCTTTCCCTCCTGAGATTAAAACATCCCACAAAACTTACACCAGAGAGATACCCCAACCAGTGGATGGTTTCCGCCCGGAGGAGGGGAGGAGATCGACCGGGAAGCTGGGAGCCCAGGCACCCAAAACCCACCGAACTCGGCCCGGAACCAATAACCGGAACCGGGAACCGGGAACCGGCCAGGAACCAATAACCGGGAACCTAGGAACCCGGAACGGGGAACCCGGGAATCCAGCCTGCTACCAAAATCGGCGGGGAGCTGTGGCCAAATCTTTCAACTTCCCATATTGGGGAATACTCAAACAAATACTCAAAATTATCCCGGCAAAGCAACCTAACAGCGATATGTAGAAGCATATCTGAAAGCATTCCCCTTAAGATTCAAATGAAAATCCAGTTGTAGAATTCTGCTGTTCTCGCAGTCGTAGTCGCATTCGCGATGACAGTCGCAGCGGCAACGGCAGTCGCAGTCACAGCCTCAGCCTCAGCCTGCCTCAGCCTCAGCCTCAGCCTGCCTCAGCCTCAGCCTGCCTCAGCCTCAGCCTCAGCCTGCTTCAGCCTCAGCCTCAGTCTGCCTTCAGCCTCGGCCTCAGCCTCAGCCTGCCTCAGCCTCAGCCTGCATCAGCCTCAGCCTCAGCCTCAGCCTGCCTCAGCATCAGCCTGCCTCAGCCTCAGCCTCAGCCTGCCTCAGCCTCAGCCTCAGTCTGCTTCAGCCAGCCTCAGCCTCAGTCTGCCTTCAGCCTCGGCCTCAGCCTCAGCCTGCCTCAGCCTCAGCCTGCCTCGGCCGCAGCATCAGCCTGCCTCAGCGTTCAAAATGTGGCCCAGGAATGGAGTTCTGGGAACTAGAAGAACACGGAGTGGCCTACAGTTGGCTCCGGGCATTCAAAATCATGCCCAGGAATGGAGTTCTGGGAACTTGAAAAGCACGAAGTGGCCTACAGTTGGCTCCGGGCATCCAAAATGTGGCCCAGGAATGGAGTTCTGGGAAATCGAAGAGCACGAAGTGGCCTACAGTTGGCTCCGGGCATCCAAAATGTGGCCCGGGAATGGCGTTCTGGGAACTCGAAGAGCACGAAGTGGCCTACGGTTGGCTCCGGGCGCTCAAAATGTAGCCCGGGAGTGGAGTTCTGGGAGGTCGAAGAGCACGAAGTGCGTGACTGACGAAAAACGAGCCCGGCTCTGTTCCCGGTTCTCCAGAATGTGGCCCGGGAATGGAGTTCTGGGAGGTCGAAGAGCACGAAGTGTGACTGTTGGCGAAAAGCGAGCCCGGCTCTGTTCCCGGTTCTCCAGAATGTAGCCCGGGAGTGGAGTTCTGGGAGGTCGAACAGCACGAAGTGTGTGACTGTTGGCGAAAAACGATTCCCGGTTCTCCTCCCCGGCACCCGCCCAGAGCCCCCTGAGGAGTCATGATGCTCTCTTTTGACCCTACTAGAAACCCATCAGCAAACGCTATTAGGTAAATATCAATTATCTCCAGACTACTTTTTACTAGTTTTGACTATTCCTCCTGTAGAGGGACACGCCCGACTTAACCTCACTCGGAGAGATAGTCGTACAGCTCCGGCTGGTCCAGGCTTGGCCTGTAACCCAGCTTGCCCGACCGGGGCCTCGACGACAGCGCCTCCCGAGCGGCGTGGACCACGGGCCGCGACGACAGCGAGGAGTCCGCGTCGGAGTCGTAGAACGTCCTGCTGGCGTCCTGGGAGAAGGAGAACTGCAGCGACGACTCGTAGAGCTCAAGCCGCAGCACCGTGGAGTGCCCGTGGTGCGCCAGCAGCTGCGCCGTGCGCCGGCAGCACTCCTGGGCGACCTCGGGGGTGCGCTCCGGCTTCGCCTTCGCCCGGACGTCCACGTAGACGTCCTCCCCGCTGGAGCTCCCGTCCGCCACTGGGATGCAGAGCACCTTCAGCACCTGCGGCGTTCTGTCGACGCCCCAGATGGGCACCAGCGCCCTGTGGAGCTCCTTCGCCGAGACGTTGAGCCGGCGGCGGGAGAAGATCTTCACAAGCGGCATCGCGCGCGGCGGGCGGCCGCCCAGCCCTGGGCGGGTGCAGATGGACTCCTTGGAACCAAGCACTGGTCGACAGAGTCGTGTGCTACTCTCCCCTGCGCCCTGGGGGGCCGCTGTGACTGGCTCGGCTTTACTCGCTTCCCCTGTGCCCCGGGGGCCCGCTGTGACTGGTTCAGCTGGGCCCCAGGTGTGTGTGTGTGTATGTGTGTGCGTAAGAGACCCATGTGGAAGTTCTGCGCGCCTGCGCGCAGTTTACCTCTTCCTCGCCTTCCCCTGCAACCTGTTCGAAGACCCAGGTCGCCGCGGGAGACAAACAAACATCGAGCATCGCCTGTTCACCGCGGGGGACAACCGAATATCGAGCATCGCCTGACTTGTGCTTAGGTGCGCTTCCAGGAGCTGCGGCACACCCTTCTCAATCACAAGACCCCAGTCTGGTTGCACCTGGTATGGGTTGATGGAGTCGCTACACCGACATCTCGCTGCAACTGATCAACAATTCTGCTCACGGCATCACAAGTTGGAGAGGATCAATGTCGCTCACCGAAAAATGATACAATTATAACAATCATTCTGGTTTGGATGATGCGCGACGAGGGGGGACTGGACTGCTACTGGGCACTGTGCGAAACCGAAACCAAACATCGCACTGGAACGGACTCGCGCTCCTGTTTGGAATGAAGGGCGTGGCGAGCAAAGACGCAGGCTGCTGGCCAAAACCCCCCATCCGACAGCTGGACTTGTCGCACGCAGACTGTGTACACAGACGCACATATGAAGTGCATCCGGCTCGGCACCGGATCTTACAGGAAACCTCCTAGATGGGGTCGGAGTAGATGGGGTCGGAGGATCGCGCCGCATTGCCGATACATCAGCGATGTAGCGGCGATGCACCAGCGATGCAACGTCGACATCGGCTGTGTATCTGCGACGTCGACGTGAAGAAAAACGGGCTCCACATCCAGCCGCAACGCCGATGCATCGGCGGTGCGGCGCGATCCTCCGACCCCATCTACTCCGACCCCATCCAGGAGGCCCAGGCTTACAGGAAGCGTGGCCAGTCAACACGAAGATGGACGGACGCCGTTTGAGTGAAGGCACCCAAAGATCGGACCTGGTGTTTTTTCAATACGCGGTCTTCGGAAGTCTCGACCCATTCCCCAGGACCGGCTTTTCATCCTGAGTCGTTTCTTGACGGTCCCGAGGCCCGGCGAGAGCCCCTAGGGGCCGAATTTGCGAAACACCTCCGTCTTGATTTTTCAACACGCTGGATCTATCTCTGGGCCGTTCGAGTGACGGCATTCGCGAGTGTCCTGTCCTCGAGGGCGAGCTTCGGGGCTGACGTTTTTCCCTCCCCGATGCCCTGTAACGGATCGGCCCTCTCAGGCCAGGATCGGGAGCGGGCTCCCCGTCTGCAGAGCGGGATATCCGTCTGTCTGGCTCGCCCTAGGTCGCTAGGTCGGGCATGTCCTCCTACAGGCGGCTCCTGGAGGAAAAATGAAGATAATAGTCAAAACAACAAGCAAAGGCAATCACATCATAAAGATACAAAAAGCACGAACACATCGTCCTCGGACCGTTCTTGTATTATTTGTGAACAGATCTACTGTGGAAGGGCATGCCCGACGGAACCCTGCAGCCCACCTCTGCGGCCGCATCCTAAGCCCGCCGCTCCCGGAGGGTAGCGGCCGAAGCGGCGGGGGCGGGAGGTGCAGGGCACGAGCGCATGGCGGCGTGATGCGGGGACGCGCTGATGGAGAAGCGGCGGAGGAGGGCAGGGCAACTGCTGAGGCTGGTCGAACTTCGGGGAGACGTGAGGATCGAGATTGGGGGACTCGGGCTGGCCTGACGGGGCAATCATGAAAATGACGAGGCCCACTCTGAAATTTGGCGCGAGATCCCGCTGCACACGCCCCACGAAAACAATATCGTCAAAATCCAGGACGCGCTCGTCAAAACACGTCGGCTAACCCGAGTTCCGGCCTACTCGAGTCCTACGTGTTCCCGATAACGGCGATGTTGCTCAACAATGACGTTGGGAACCAACTGGTAGGAAATCACGAACCGCACGTTCCTACATGTCCGATCGACGACGGGATCGAGCGAACACGACACTGCGAATTGTCGGAAACCGCGAGCCACCCGTTCCCACACTACCGAAACCTGCATCGCCGTAGCTTACATCGCTGTTAGCCCGTCTACGGCACTGGGACACCCCGACAGCGCCGCAGGCGTCAACGCGGTGCTAGAGACGATGGCCCAAGGGCCCGTGCCCGCTTGGAGGCGGCCAGGGGGGTACGAAATCTGCTCACAATCGGTCCCCAGACCCCTCCCGGGGTCCACACGGTCGAGTTTTTCACCCCAGATCCGTTCTAACGGTCCCGGGGCTCCACAAAGACCCCCAGAGGTCAAACAAGGACAAGAAACCTTCCCGACCCCAGAACGTCGAACCTGCCCCCCCTCCTGCTAGCTGGCCGCCAGCGCTGGGCCACCTTGGACCCCAGCCGGCTCCAAGTCCAGCTTGAGACCAGAGGCCTCCCAAATGGGGTCCGAGTAGATGGGGTCGGAGCAGCGCGCCGCATCGTCGATGCATCGTCAATGCATCGACGATGCATCGGCGATGCAGCGGCGACGTCGGCGATGCATCGCGACGTCGGCGTAGAGAAAATCGGCCTCCGCATCACGCCGCGTCGGCGATGCATCGTCGATACGGCGCGATCCACCGACCACATCTATTCGGACCACATCTGAGAGGCCTAGACCACAGGCCTGTGCCCACGGCGGCGGCAGGGCCTCCACGCGTGTGAGGCCCTGGCCTCTCACCTCGCCTCGCCCACGGCCCTGGCCTGGCGCAGCTCGGAGGCGAGCCGCTGCCCGGTGGCCCCGGAAAGGGTGCACACCGAGCTGGCCGCGGAGCTGCCCGGGGTCATGGCGTGCATGGCGTGCTTGCCTCCGGGGAATAAACAAAAACCCGGCGTGCGCAGAAACCTGCGGAGCTCCGCGCGCGGATCCCTCGGACCGGCGCCGGGCCGCGCTCTCCCTGGCGCGCGGAGCGCGCGCCAGGGTCGGCGCCCGAGGCAGTGCGCGCAGAGCTCCGGAGGTTCTGCTCGCGCCGCAGTTTCCGCTTCGGCGGCCGAGCTCGTGCGCCCAGAGGAGGTCGGCGCTCTCGGGGATGTGGCGCGAGGGCGCCCGCGCGCAGGGCGCGTGGCGCAGGGCCCCCACGAGCGGGTTGCTCTTCTCCAGGCGCCAGACGGCGTGCAGCTCCCGGGTCACGAGGGCGCTCGAGCCCTCCGCCTGCATCATCCGCCGCCACGACCTCAGCAGCTCCTCCTTTGCAGGGGCCCCGGGACACACAAGTAAATACACGCAAATAAAAATATCCCCCCATATTTCCCCATATTTTCTGGGTTTCTGTCTTCCCCCCCACTTCCCATATGTTCCCATATTTTCTGGGGGATCGAGGATTCATTGTGTCTGCGTGTTTCTTTTTCTCCTGATCCTTCTCCCCCGACGAGGGCACGAGCTGCAGCGAGGCGCGCGAGGAGCACCGGGACGTCGGCGTGTCGCCCCGCGGCGACGCTCTCGCCGAGACGTCCGAGGCCGAGGCCCGGTCCTCGGCGATCACGCCTATCCTGCAGGGGGCCATCGCTCGGACGTCCATCCTCTGTGTTTTTTTCGGTTTCGCGCGTGGTTTTTTCGCCAAATGATCAAGGCTGCTCCTCGATGGTCCTCGCCGAAGGAAAAACGCACACGTCCGAGCGATACCAAGGCAGGGGGCCGCAAGCTGCGCACACGACGCCCGGGGCTGGCCGGGCGCAGCGCTGAGCCTCCTCGATGCCCGGGGGCGGGGCTTCGAGCCTCGAGGGTCGAGCTTCGAGGATCGCACGTGTGGCCTCCCCGGGGGCTCCTCGTCGCCACGGCGGGGCTCGCCTCGAGGGGCACGCCGGAGCGCGCCCAGGGCGAGGTGTGGGGGCAGAGGGTCGACGCGTGGGCACGTCATGAGGAGAATCCTGGAGGCCTCGCGCGGCAACTTGAGACCCGATGCACATCGGATCCGCGTCGGATTCACGTCGGGTTCACGTCGGACGACGTCGGACTTACGTCGGAATTAAGTTGGACTGACGCCGGGGCATCGCCGCGCGAGCGTCGACCCATAGCTTACGAAGCTGACGTGTGGACTAACTAAAACAACTATTACGCGCCGCGCGAGGCCTCCTGGATTTTCCTCATAAGGCACGGCACGCTCTGGGCCCGGGCCTGGCGTCGGTCCAAGCCCATGCAAACGGGGCGTTAGCAAACGGGCCGGTAGCCAAGGGTGCATTCTCCAAGGTGCTCTCAAAAAACTGACCTGCCGCGCACAAGTGCGAGGTAAAACTCCCCCCCCACACCCAGAGTGATGATGACGTATCGACGTTTTGGCGTCCCGGTGTATCGCGCACTGGTGCGAGGCAAATGCCCTGTCACCCCTGACGTCGGTGGAGTCCTGCCAGCCCTCTGGGCGGAGGCGGTTCGGGGCGCGGGCCCTTCCAGCAGAGAGTCTTTCTTCGCCCCCACGCCCCAGCACTCCGCCCCTCGACATGTGGGCTGGAGGTGGCTGACAGTCTGTCGCGGCGGCCGCCCCCGGGCCGGCCGCGGAGAGAGCGGTGAGCCAGGGGAACATCCTGGTTGGGCGGAGGCGCGCATTTGAGGGCTGGGGGGCGCGAAGCGTCCAGCACTTGCAGCTCCCGGTGTCCTCGTGCCGAGTTGGTCCCAGGCGGGGGCCCTGTGGATGGAGGATCGCTGCGATGGCCTCTTCAAGGGGCTCAGCAGGTCGCGTCCAAAGTCCTGCGTGCGGTCACCTAGCAGCGCGAAGTAGAAGTTCCCATACTCCTCCCCATCGACGAACACCTTCCACCCCAGCTGGTCGAGGAATTCGGACTCCAGCCTGTAGAGGGCCCCTGACCTGTACCTCAGGCCTGCTACATCCAACAGACAGTCCTCGAAGTCTGCGTTCCACGGGTGCACGTCCTCGCACACCTTCGAGGCGGTCTGGAGGGCTACCACGACGATGGATCGCCAATTGCCAGGCGTGAGCACCACTGTTGTGTTGTTCAGCAGCCGCTCTATGTAGACAGCGCTGATTACGACCACCTGGCTGAGGTCTCCAGAGAAGCCTCCTCCCTCGTTCCCTCCGCTCCCCTCCCGCGGACTCTCGTCCTGTTCCTCCTCCCTTCTTCCCTTGCCCTGCCTCCGTCCCTCCCTCCTCCCTCCCTCTCTCCTCCCTCCCTCCCTCGTCCCTCCCTCCCTCCCTCTCTCCCTCCCCCTCCTTCCTTCCTTCCTTTTATCTCCCGTCTTGTCCTCCCTTCCCTCCTTCCCTCTTCATCCCTCCCCCCTTCCCCCTTCCCCCGTCTCCCTTCCCTCCCTTCCCCGTTCCTCCTCCATCTTTCCTTCCTCCTCCCTCCTTCCCTCTCGCCTCCCTCCTCCCTTTCCTCCTTTCTCCCGATCGCCTCCGTGCCCTTCTTTCCTCCCCTCGCCCCCCCCCCCCCGAGACCCACTCCCTGTGCACCTCTGGCATGGAAGGGGGCTTTCGAGCCCAGGAGGGCCTGGTGGCAGAAGAAGAGCGCCCGGGAGACGTCCGCCAGGAGCCCGAGGATGTCTTCCACGGTGGGCCGTGCCGGAGGGTGGCTCCGCCAGGGGCAGCAGCACCACCACTGCCTCCTCGCATTTGGCGTCCCGAGGACAGGGGCAAGGAGGAGCCGGGAGGCCAGGACCAGGAGCAGGAACAGGAGGACTTGAGGTACGATTTTTTTCCAGCGCACTTTTGGGAGAAGGAGGAGGATAGCAGAGGGGACGGAGCGGACAGAAGCGATGAACTCTCGTGCTGCCAGCTCTGAATGCAGGCCCACCCAGCGTTAAAACTGTTAGAGCAGTTTTCCATCTGATCGACCCAGAAGCGGGCATCGAGAAGGACTTGAGGTACGATAGTTTGGGGGCGCCTTACGGTCGGGAGCCTCTGATTAGCGTGTCCCGGCACGCGATCCGCTCCGCGGGGCGGGAGGCACAGTAGGGCAAGAGCTCTGGACGCTGACGCCTTGGGACCGTGGCGTGGATAGCGTTTCGCGCTGAGGCGAGGTGGGCCAGAAGTGGCGACCCGACTCGCTATCCCAAAGTTCCTGACCGTATGGTCCTGGGGTGCCTTAACCCCCGTCATTGGGCTCAGTGCCCTGGAGTCACCACCACGTAGGGCACGGTGGCCCGATGTAGCATATAGCCTGGGGCCATCTGGGTACAAACCGCATAGGCTGGGCCAACACATCAAGAAAGCCTGGGCACCGTGGCCCAGGCGAGGGTAACCTGGAGCAGAGGGAGGGGCCATGCTTTGCCCTCGACCCTCGAGGGTCAAGGAGGTTCTCGAGGGCGTTGGGGTACTTGTCGGGCCTCCGGAGGACTCTGGATGTCTCCGAGGACCTCTGGGGACCTCGCAGAGGTCAGGACCCCGGCCGGCATCAACACTTACCAGGGGGAGGAGGAGAATGAGGAGGAGGAGGAGAAGAGGAGGAGGAGGAGAAGAGGAGGAGGAGGACGAGGAGGAAGGAGGAGGAGGAGGAGGTGGAGGCGGAGGAGGATAATGAGGAGGAGGAGAGGGAGGAGGAACCGGAGGAGGAGGAGGAGGAGGAGGAGGAGGAGAGGAGGAGGAGGAAGAGAAGGAGGAGGAGGAGGAGGAGGAACAGGAGGAGGGGAGGAGGAACAGGAGGAGGAGGAGAAAAAGGAGGAAGAGGAGGTATCGAGGTATCGAGTACCAGAGGCGCGGCCAATTTGCCCGACGGCGCCCCGAATATTAACGAGAACGATTAAGCTGGGGATCCTCCCTCCAGCTTGACCCCAGTCTTGGGGTGCAGTCTCTCACGGATATTCGCGAGAGACCTCCTCGCACTCTGGGGCAGGGAACCAGACGCTGGTGGCTTACAAATTGCGCGCAGCTCAGGCCCCAAACGATGAGCACTATAGGAACCACACGCAATACAAAAGATGTACGGTCCAACCTGCTCCATCGTGCGCCCCAGAGCATCGAAACACTCAAAACTACTCCCCTCCCCCTCCCCCTCGGGCCTTGGCTCAATCCCAGGGCCGTCCAGACAAGAACCAGGGCCCAGGGCCACCACAGGACCAGGACCAAAATCCAGGAACGCACGCGCACCCGAGATCGCCACCTGGATAACCTCGAGTCTGGCCAGAGGGGTGGCAGAGGCATGCAGCCCGCCACGGCCAAACGCCAGCTCTCTGTTTTTGGTTTTGTTTGTTTGTTTGTTCTCTCTCTCTCTCTCTCTCTCTGCAAAGGGGATGGGTCACACACTCGAGCTCAGTCTTAGCCCTGGCAAGGCACGACCGACAGAGCATCATACCACCGTGCATGTGAAAATCGTGTTTTTGTAATCTCAAAAGAGGACCACCACCCTCGCCAATCAAACGCCATGGGAGCTCACGAACAGCATCCAAGTGCTCGCCAACAATATGCTTATGGGCAGCGTTCTGGACCACTGCCCATCCAAAGAACTTGGCATTATTGCGTGAGGTCGACAACACATCGGACCAAAAGTCCACCAGAGCGTCTGCAACTTTATGCGAAGCGGCACCGAGCTTAGCTAAGAAATCCGCCCAATTATTGCCGAACCACCACGACGCTGGCCACTCTCCACGCCAGAGGCACTCTTCAATCGTGAGATGCGCTGGCACCCACTCGAAGGTTGGGGGCCTCTGGGAGGGGCGGCTCCGAACCACGCTAAACAGATGCCTCAAAATGTCAGCGTGTGTGGCCGTAGCCGAGGCATGTGCCTCAGACCATTCAGCCCCCTCTCGCACGGCCCCGAGGAGAACCGAAACGGTAGCGCGAAGACCAGGGGGCAGCTGATGCCCCCGCAGCAGCGCATGTCTCCCTGAGCGGCCTACGGACTGGATGGGGCCTGGGAGGGGGCCATATGCAGCTCTTAAAGGGAGCTCTCCATCCCCCATCTGGACAGCAGTCCGCCCGCAGCGCCTAAACTCGGGCCAGGCACGATGCATGCCCGACCCGTCAAAGAAAGCAGTGGGCTCCCACGGGGCCTTCTTCGAGCTCCAATCTCCCCAGAAGAACGCGAGGGGGGGGCCCAGACGGGGGGGGGGCCCTGGGAGGAGCCCGCGGGAACTCAATGCAAAACTTGGGCAGGTGAAACCTACTGCGCCCCACGAAATTCACTGCATCCTCCGGTAGACGATGGCGCGTGTTTTTCCAGCTCCCCAGACCAAGGAGATAATCCACGCGCATCGTCCTGCTCGGGCAAGTTCGGGCACCCGTAGAGCACGTGGCCCAGGTCCCCGATGTCCTGTCGAGCCCGACATTCAGGATGAGGACAACATGGAGAGGGAAGCCAGCCACGTCGGTGCCACAGCCATGAATCCGCCAGACCACAGGCAACGACTAGCACCAACAATCTGCGCAGACTTGTTTGTAACCGCATTGCCTCCCACTGTCAACGTGGGGGCGCGCGTCCAGACAGTCTCCCCACCTTCAAGATGCTCGGCGTGATGCCCCAGGATGCGACGCCCCTGTCATCGCTGCACTCCCAAACGAAGAAGCCTCCGAACACCCCCAGGGGCCATCGGGAGGAGAGATATGGCAAGACCTTCGTCGCTGAGGATGACCGCGCTGCGCGGCATGTCCCAGCTCACGCGCCGAGGCGTGAGCCAAGTGGCAGATATTGGACTTCGAACGCCCTGCCATCCTGGAGAACGACCCTGCCAAATATCACAAAGTGCCCGCGAAGCACGCTCCAGCCTCCCCATCTCCAGGCGCTGCTCGAACACGACGCACGCACACGTGTAGACCATGTCGAGCGTGCGTCCAAAAATGGGATCAATCCAAAGATCCTTCTGGGAAGCCAGGTACGCCGTAATGCTAACACCTTTGGAATGCTCGCCTGCCAACGCGCCTGCAGCTTGCCGCAACTTCTTCAGGTCACAAGCAGGGACGCCAGACACCGAACTGCCATGCACAGCACCTGCCAGCAATCCAGTGCGCCAGATGGCCCCTGACCTTGGGGCCAGCAATGGCCTGGAGAAGCTTGACACGGCATATGCGCTTCTGCAGCTTGGCGAGCCTGGCCTTGGTCACGGTACGCATAGCTCTTCTCCACGACAGCCGTAGGAGTCGGGCCCATGACAAAAAGTGCTTCAGCGCCTCCCTGGTAGCGCCAACGTATCCTGACGTAACAGGCTGCACCAAGAGACCAAGCCTGCGCATGCCACTCTTGAGCTCCCGCGTAGCCTTGGCAAGCACAGTGCTCTCCTTAACGTCTTTTACCGACCCACTGCAGGGTCCCATCGTCGACGAGAAGCTCGAGGGAACACCGTGGGACCACGCTCCTGCACCTGCAGCAAGGTCCGAATCATGAGCACTGTGAGGAGAGTCGTGGCATGGGTGCAGCCAGGCAATCTGCCCTGTCCCACCTCGCGTTGAAAAGGATCTGGATCCAATACCTTTGACCGCGCGAGGCATCTTGTAGGAGGTGACAAGCTGCCAAAGCAGCCTCAACGGGAAACCCACACCTCGCGCCTCCTGAGATTGTACCCTCACTTCCACCGTGCCAAAACATTTCCACATGTCCATCATGACCGTAAGAGAATGCTCGCCCAGAAGCTTAGACATCTCGTCCATAGCATTGCGCATGAAGGCTGACCCAGACGAAGTGAATCCTCTCATGTTGCCCCACACCATCTCAGAAAGGGTATGTGCGAAGCCATGCCCGAGACAGTGGACGCCTGACCCTCGCCCACAGCCTAATCAAAGTGTGAATCGGAGCAACCAGACGTGTTCCACCTCCGTCCTTTGGGATCCCGGCCATCTCTGAATGAATGCATGGGCTGGCCACGAAGGAAGGTTCTCGCATTTCATGAAGTAGCCAGCAACAGCAAGAAGAGCCTCGGAGGATTGTGTTTGCTGCGCTCAACATCAGTGCGGGCGGCGCCGCGGGTCTGCCAGCAAATGCGCGGCACGCCGGCGTCCACCCAGGATGGCTGGCGTCCACCCAGGATGGCATTCACGAAAAACCTCGGACGAAAGGAACCAAAGCGAGAGAGGCTGCACCTCAGACGGTCCCGCAGCCGTCTTCCACTTGAATGTCAAGATCGCCTCCCTCATCATGTCCACAGTAATGTAAGGCAGCTCCTCCCAGTGGAAGTGATCATATGGCAGCCTCATGCCGTCGTCCTCGTGCACTGACAAGAGCTTGATCCACCTGGCCATCTCCCGATCGGAGAGCGAGCTCATGTGGGTACTGTTCTTCTCCAGCCTCGACAAGCTCCTGCGCAGCCTGTAACCGAGTAAAACGACGCGCGCCACTGGCACCATTCACAGATGCCTTGTCAACGAAGGCCTTCCATCTGGCCCTGTCAACCGCGCCATGCAATTCACGAGGCCTATCGTGCTTAATCTCCGAAGAGGAGGAGGAGGAGGAGGAGGAGGAGGAGGAGGAGGAGGAGAAGGAAGAGGAGGAGGAGGAGGAGGAGGAGGAGAAGGAGAGGGAGGAGAGGGAGGAGGAGGAGGCGGAGGAGGAGGAGGAAGAGGAGGAGGAGGAGGAGGAGGAGCCAATTGTGGCGTGTACTTCCAACCTCGCTCGAGCGATTGTGGCGTGTTTGGTTTCAGGGCCCTTGAGGCTCACTGGCCTGGGGTTCGCGACCCCACA